TCTGGTGATCCATTAACATGAGCCCTCTTTTATCTCCTAATGTGTTCTTCTATTTTATTTTTGTGCACTGGTTTGTAACTTTTATTTTAGAGGTGTTTCACTTCTATGGTTGGTTTGATTCCTAGGTATTTTATTTTATTAAAGCTAATGTTAATCCAAATGTTGTATTGATATTTATCTCAGCCATTTCATTATTAGAACTGAATTATTTATGGGCCAGAAGTATCTGGGCTTCTGTGGGCACTGGTGCCACTTCTTTTTGGATCTCTGAATCTCACCAGATGACCTCAACTCATCTTCTGGACAGGCATTTGGAAGCTGGGATTGTGTACTAGCTGGACATCTCATGCCAAGCATAAAACCACCTATGACCACAGTATGCCTGTGTAAGGAGCAGTAGTAAGTGCTTCCCTTCTGAGAGACCCCCCCAAACCTTGCTAATTTTCCTGTACATGTGGCTTTTCCAGCCTGTGGCTGACAAACAAGTTAACATGTCGTGTCCCACCATCTGTGAGCAAGCAGTAGTCTAAGAACAGAGAATAGGACATATCTTTCGGGAGAACCTCAACAAATCAAGCAAGGTGTGATCTAAAGTCTAGGATGGTTGGTAGTCCAGAGTTTGCCTTTAAAATTGGAGCCCTTATGTAGAGACCTCATCTCTTGCTAGTTCCTGCCTCTGTTCCCAATTCCCTTGCATTTTGGTACATTATATCATAAGAGGATATGTCTCTTTTGACAAATGAAATTCCATAAGGAAAATTCAACCCACAAGGGCAGATTATACATCTTTTTAGATAGCAATACAAACTTGAGGCCAAAGTTATCATAAGAAAAACAGAACGATTAAGAACAGAGAGAAGAAGAGTTAGTCTTAGAGAATTTGGCTCAGGAAAACATAACGATAGATCTGGTTTGGGATCCAGGAGAATACAGTCAGCACAACTTCATTCATAGCTGTTGCCAGTGCAAAACTGAAGTTTCAAAATGAAAAAGACCATGGTTTTTCTTTCCATCTGCCATACAGGAAAGCACTAGGCTAGTTTTCCACATTCCAACTTCCAACTCTCCCTCTCTCAGTGAACAGCACCACAAAAGCCAAATAGTTTGGCATTCCTGACAGGTGAAAGCCTTTTGGGAGCAGACAGTGACAAAAAGGGAAGTTGAGTTCCCCCAAAGAAGAGAGACTGAAGGAAAAAAGTCTTACTGAATATAAAAATAAATAATTATCGTAATGTTTAGTATTATCAATCAGTTTTTTCAATCAGGTTTGTCTATGTTAAGCCCTGTCAGACTGGGTGTAACTAAAACTTAGTTGGTGGAGTAGTGAAAGTGTAACTTTAACAATTTTCCATTCTTTCATGAATGAATCTTCACATAACAGTTTTCAAAATAATTTCCATTTAAGCTAGAAGTGGTGGCACATATCTGTAATACCAGCTACCTGGGAAGTTGAGACAGGTTCTTTTCAAATTTGTGGATCGTCTGGCCAAGTTAGTGAAATTCTGTGTTAAAATAAAATTTTTTAGAAAATGCTGAGGATGTAGATCAGTGATAAAGCCCTTGCCAAGACTGCTAGGGCCCTGAGTTTAATTCCCAGTACTAGAAAAAATTGTCTCTATTTCCCTTTTGAAAAAGTATGTTAAGTTATTCAATTGTGAGTGACAATAATATTTTAATCAGGATGTATATTCTACCTCAGACTTAGAAAGTGAATTAGGGAGAATATTACCTTATGAAGAGGAAAAAGAGATCCTAAAATGAATGCACACATACACACACACACACACACACACACACATATATGTATGTATATATATATATATATATATATATATATATATATATAATATAATATAATAAAAGCACTCTGATTAGCCAAATAACCTTCAGGATACACAAAACTTGACATCACTCTTGTTTCATTTTTTCTTTTGGCGGGGGAAGATTTGTTGAGCACTTTATCTTTTCTGTTCCATTGCTGTGTGTGTTTGTTATTATGCTGATTACATAGTTTTTATTACCATAGCTTTATAATATACTTTGAAATCAGGTAATAAGATGACTCCACCTTTGTTTTTCTTTCTCAGTATTGCTTTAATTATTTGAAATTCTCATAGTTCCATACAAATTTTTGGATTGATTTTCTGTTTCTAATGAAAAAGGTCATAGGAATTTTGATAGAGATTGCATTCATTCTGTAAATAACTTGGGTAGTATGGGTATTTCAACAATGTTATTACTCCTCATCCGAGATCATTGGCTACCTTTACATAAATTTCTGTCTTTTTAAATTTCTTTCATCAATATCTCATAGTTTTCATGTGCATATCTTTTACATCCTTAATTAATTTGTAAATGCATTACTGCTTTTGATATTCTAGATAGCAGCATAATATTAATTCTTTTTCAGATAGTTTGTTGTTAGTGTATAGAAATGCAGTTGATTTTTGTTTATTGATTTTGTATCCTGAAATTTAAACAAATTCATTTATTAGTTCAGTTGGTGGAGTCAATAGAGTGATATATATATATGGAGAGAAAGAGAGGGACAGAATTTTATTTTTTTCTTTCTTATTTGAATGCCTTTTATCTTTTTTTCTTGCCTTGTTGTTCTGGCTAGACTTCTAGTACCGTGAAACTAGTGAGAGTATATATCCTTGTCTAATTCCTGGCCTTGGAGAAAAAGATTTTAGCTGTTGAATTATAGATCCAAGTCTTTAAATGGTATCTGTAGGGACAAGTCCTAGAAATCTCTATTTTTAATGTAAGGCTCAGGTAAGTCACTATCAGGGATATTTGAAATAGATATAGTGTAAAGAAGCTGAAAAATTCCCATAAGTTAATATTTTTCAATTATGTCAGTCAGAAAGTACAATCCATATCCACTTCAAAGGAAAAATAAACAAGTATAAAAAGTTAATATATAATAATAATTTTAAAAGTCGCTAATCTCAATCAACTTCAACAATTGCCTAACAGACCCTCAGCTTATCACCAGTCTCCCTTAAGACACTGCTTTCTTTTTTCCCATGACCCTACATTCTCATTTCTCCCTTATAAATTTAACAGTACAGGTTTAGCTAACATATTATATAAGACAATATAATTCCCAGTTGACACAAGATGAAGGTTGTTAATGTAATTCTTCCTTACTATTCAGTCAATAGTTTTAGATTTCCTAATCACTTAAAGACAAACAAGTACCATGAAGAGACATTGACTTAGGTTTATGTCAAATGAAAGAGATTAGAAAACCGAGATATATTTTTATAACATATTAGCATTACTAGGTCCAGACAGCTCTTAACTACAGAAGACACTTGCAGTTTCAGGATTTAGACTACATACAGGGAATCTAAGCCAAATTCAATATAATAATGAAGGAAAGGAGTCATGATCTTGATAAGATGAGGTTGGTGAAGGGGAAGTGTGTGTCTGTGTCTTGCACATCTGCAATGATCTCTTAGGTGGAACCTCACAGCAAGACAGAATTTACACAGGTCTAACTTGCAGCATCCAACCTTCTAGCTGCTGCCTGCAGGCTGCTTATTGCACTTTCACAAGCAGTGACACGCTCACAAAGCCCCATAAGAGCACATGCTTTAGAACCCAGACTATGAACATTTCAAACTTCAGTTACAAAACTCAGAAGATTGGTTAGCTCTTTACAGTTGAGTATTTACTGGCATAAGTCCTGGCTTCTGGACAAAGGAGCCTCTGAGCTGATGAAACTCTCCAGAGAGAAGGCATGGAAACTTGGAGTGTGCATTCTAGAACATGAGTTTTGTCTTTTTCTAGTGCCTTGAACCCAGAAAGGAGAGAAAAACAGGAGGTCACTTTCTGGATACTTTCTCTGCCTCTTAACTGAGGCCGAAGAAATGGACAGTTATTGCAAAGTTCTATACCAGAATCTTCTTTCTGTGTGGGTTTCATCTGTAACTATTAGGACATGATATACTTTGTATGGAAGATGAAATACCTCGAGACAACCCTATTCAGCAGCCTTCCACCAGCAGTACCCATCAGCCAGTCTTTGATTGTACGCCCAAACCATGATACCTATTCTTGAAAAAAATACCTTCTTTGTTTATACTAAAGTCTGCTTCTTATTGACACCAATATCCCCTTAGAGTCACAAAAAGTTGAACGTCCTTCACAGTGGTGGGTGTAGGGTAGGCCTGGACCTTGTCTATCTCACCAACCAGAGGACTCTCAGGAACTTTACAGTACTGATGGTCCTGGCATCTTGTTAGGTCTGCCACCCATCAGCATGACCAGAGGTATTTGATAGGTCACTGTAGTCTGCCATCGGCAGCGGGAGACCCAGGCGCTGCCCCCGCCCCGGTGCCATGTGAAGACCGGAGAGGCCCTGGTCAGGCGGCGCCGGCCACATGGGACAGAGCCCGCTGCCGAAGAAGGGTCGGGGGTCGCAGCCTACTCTCCCGGAGCGCGGCCCGGCACTGAGCGCCGCCAGAGCCTCCGCCCGCGCCGCGTCCCCGCCTGAGGATCCACGCCCCAGAGCTGCCACAGCCACCACCAAACAGCCTCGCCTCTGCCGCGGGGGAGAAACCTCCACGCCCACCGGAGCTGCTCCTGTGCTCCGGCGCTCCCGGCCGCGGCCTCCGCCCTCCCTGGAGCCAAGGCCCGGCCCCAGCGCCCGCACTGCGCGGTGGAGAAGCGGGAGGAGGCGCGGAGCTGCGGGCCTGGAAAGCAGAGCTCGCCTGCAGGGCAGATGGCAGGGCCCGGCTTTGGGGCGCCCTCAGGCCTCAGGATCGCAGGGGAGCGCGCCCGCCCGTCCGCGCTGGGACCCCGAAGATACAGGCTTTCTCAAGAAATTCAAAACACATAGTATGTAATGAAAATTATATATCTTTTCCACTGTTGATTCCTACGCTTTCCCCCCAGAAAGACCCAAGGATGCCGATGTCTCATGAAACTTTCAAAAGATACCTTTTCTTGTAATATAATAATGTCATGTATAGTATTGATCAGACTATATATGTGCTTTGGGAAACTTTTACTTCATTTTTTATTTTAAATTTACAGTATCCCCAAGATCATTCTATATTCAGCAAACTAGAGAGTCACTCTCATTTCACGTCTTATATTCTAGTACCAGCACATAATAAAATTCATATTATGAATTTATGCACGTGACATTGACCTAATTTCCAAGTTTTGCAATTCAAAGCATTATCTCAGTGGACTTCTTCTTGTATATATATGTTGTTGCAGGCGTGTGTTGCCTAAAAGCGATTAAAATGTATCCGTCAACAGGTACAGCCGTTTGTTCGAACGTGATCCAGGCACAGATACACTCCAAAAAGCAACTTCTATATTTAAAAATTTTGCTGAATGAAAATGAAAAGCATGTGCCCCAGAATAGGCCAACACATACATCTATAATCTATAATTTTCTTATAAGAAGAGCAAAGTTTATTTTAAAAATGAGCCAATGTATTTAACAGCCTTACCAAGAACTTCACCAGGAGTACCCAATAGCTCTATTATCCCTTCGCCCACGATATTTAAGGCTCGTGTAATAAAGGGTTCATTACTGCTCTCTATGGCTTTGATTCTACTCTTCAAACGCTTTAACTCCGCATTCATTGCCTCAGATTTCTTGTTGAATCCTTCTTCAAGCAAATCCTTTTGGAACTAAAATAAATGAATAAAAGTTGAGAGGGAAGTACAGTTTTATAACACTGCTATTCTAAGACTGACATTTTATTTAAAAACTTTGTCAAGCTGAATTTATATTATATGTACAAATGCTTTTGTAATTATCACAAAAATAATTAAGCAACAAAAATATCTGAATTGGACCAGATATTGTGAGAAGGAAGTATAGATTAGCTTTACTAATATTCATTCAACATTCAGTCCTATTGTGCTGAAGTATAAGATCAAATTCTGTTCTTGTCAAAAGAAATATCTTGGCATGATTCTCAGTCCCTCTTAAATAGCATGGTAATGATATGGTGATGGTGGAAACTTGTTAGCTGATCTAGAAATTTGTTATACAACTTCCGGATGAACAAGGAGAGAATTCCTCTGATATCATAAGCTAACACCTGCAGGCTGCCCACATGGGGAATTCTAATTTACATCTAAAATTCCCACCCAATACTCATTTGTATGGAAGGAGATTGTCCCATTTGGGTGCTCTGTTCATCCCTGGATTTATCTGCTGTGTTCAGTAGCTGCATATACTGTGAAGGAGGCAGGACCTGGTCAGAGGGGGGGTCACAGTTTAACCCTTTCTGGGACTGGCTGAGCCACTGGCTGAGCAGTTTTTCCTACACCATGCTTCTGTGCTGTGCTATTTCTGCCTTGGAGCTGGCCAGCTATGGATTTAAGCCATCAGCCAAAATAAAGCTCTTCTCCTATAAATTGTGGGTATTAAGTGTTTGTGCCACAGATGGGAAAGTGAATAGGACATCTGAAAATAACCAGTAAGTTTATTGACAGAAGCTGTCAATACATTGTGCTTTTAAGCGTGAACATTTCTGATAGTTTTATGGCAACATAGATTTATCTCAGGGTCTTTGGACAGTAGTAGAGTCCCTGACAATATTGGTACTGTTAATGCAATTCTATCATTTTATAAAATCCCAAAGCAGCAATATAAATGCCATTCATATTCTTCAAGAAATTAATCAAAGGAACTATAAGAGTCAAGACGATTTGAATTCTCTAGATGCTACATGTGGAGAAAAATTCAAAAGGGTCACCTTTACAACAAAAATAGCCAAAAATCCAGAGCTTTATTGAATTACGGACAACAAATGGTGATGGTCCCTCCTTCCATGATCTGGATATCACCTTCACCGTCCTGCAAGGGTACCGAGGACGTCAGACACTACTGAGCCGAGGTGTACTCACCTTCATTAGTTGCTCAAACATCATTTTCTGATCTCTGAGGAGGTTTTCTCTCTCCAACAGTAGCTTCTTTTCCAGTTGCTCCATGTTTTCCTTGTGGGTCCTCTCTAGAGCTGCTTTCACTTGCTGTAACTCCTGTTCTTTCGCTGTGGAAATTTCCTGTCCCTTCTGAGCTGCCTCATTCTTGGCCTTCTCCACTGTGCCAGGAAAATTTCAAAATGGAAGAAAAATAAATGAAAACTAACACTATGTTCCTGAGCTCAGAGACCAAGGCAAATCTGAAAGGTAGCACAGGAAGGTCATAGAATTCACACAGGTCTACACTGCTCAGAACATGTTTCAGAATGTGATGGAAAATGTGCTGCCCCTGTAGATGACATAAAACTACAGCTCCCTTCTATTTTTCACAATCATCTGCATGCACCCTCCACAGAAGGAAAGATGCTACACACTGGAGAACGTTTCCTGTTGGGTCTGTCAGAATGACTGTGGAAATCTGCACACCTGGGAGATGCACCTTACGCGTTTACCTGCCATGTCCCTCTCCCTGTCAGTGAGAGCTTTATCTGACTGCAGGATGGATTCCTCTATTGCCACCTGTGACTGCAGGAACCTTTGGAGCACCTCTCCTGCCTGTAAAACCAAGAAAGAGCAAATAACTTACCGTTTGGAGAACGGTTCTGCAATATAAATGTATGCACACCATTTTGCTTTATGGTTAAACTTCCAGTGGCTCTCTACAAAGGGATCAAGCTCCTCACTGAGATCCTCCAGTCCATGGCTCTTGCTTCCCGTCTCCCTCCCTGTATCCTTCTCCCAGAGCTCCTTCCTGCCACTTGCTCTAGGTTCCAGCCAGTCAGAATAAGGTGCAGTTGTGTGAACTATAACCTCTGCTGCTTTTCTGCATTTTTCTCCAATGACATAAACTGTACCTCTCTCTTCCTGCAATGAGCTTTTTCTTTATGAAAAATTTTTATGTGACAGGGTCACTCAGTTCAAAAGTAAAAATGCTCACATTGAAAGGTGATATCACTGAAAGTTAGATTAAAATGTCTAGGAAAGAGTTTATCATTAAGTGCATAAGCAGTAACAATTTCATTATGTTTATTAACACCATCTCTATAGAACATTCTCCTAGTTTGATAAGTAATGTCACTCAATATGCAAATCATCAGCCTGGAGAGTGAAGACTGAGTGAACCTTGTAAATCACCAGCATGTAGCACATTGCAGTCATCTTGTTGTATGAAGAAATAGGTAATTATTTTCTGTCCCTATTGACTTTTTGAACTCCTTACAGTTTTTTTAGGAACAAAAATTTTTATTTTCAGGAACATAGAGCAGACAGGCAGAATTAAAGACTAAAGTGATCTCTGAGGTACAGCCCACTGGTAGAGCACATGCAGGAAGCCCTAGTTTTGATCCCCAACCCTGGGGGAAAGAATGAAAAGAGTTCATGATAATCTGTTTTCTTGTTGCTCATAGCTAGTTCTGGAAACCCTTTGACGTTATTCTCTGGACTTTCCCAGGTTAACTTATGTTGGGGACCATTACAAAGTGGCTCTGAGCAGGATTTAATATTAACCAATTGGCTTTCCATGTTTACT